CCCACCGCCTCAGAACCTCACCAGATACCCCCATTGCCTCAGCACCTCACCAGATACCCCCACCGCCTCAGAACCTCACCAGATACCCCCACCGCCTCAGCACAGCAGCAGATACCCCCACCGCCTCAGCACAGCAGCAGATACCCCCAGCACCTCAGCACAGCACCAGATACCCCCAGCACCTCAGCGCCTCACCAGATACCCCCATTGCCTCAGCACAGCAGCAGATACCCCCAGCACCTCAGCGCCTCACCAGATACCCCCAGCAGCTCAGCACAGCAGCAGATACCCCCATCGTCTCAGCGCCTCACCAGGTAGTCCCATCGCCTCAGCGCCTCGCCAGGTAGCCCAACACCTCAGCACAGCAGTAAGTACCCCCACCGCCTCAGTGTAGCACCAAGTACCACTGCTTCCCTGCCTCAGCAGGTAGGCCCAACACCCTAGCTCCTCAGCACTGTGCCAGCTACCCCCAACACCTCCGTGCTGCAGCAGCTACCCCGAACACCTCAGCAGTACCAGATACCTTCCCTGTGTCAGTGTGGTGCCAAATACCATCACCTCAGTGCCGTATCAGGTACCCCCATTACCTCAGCATGGCACCAAGTACCCCCATTGCCTCAGCATAGTACCAAGTACTCACGACACCTCAGCGCCTCAGCAGGTACTGCCATCACCTCAGCGCCGCACCACACACCGCCATTACCTCAGTGTAGTGCCAAGTACCATCCCTGGGCACCTCACTGAGTATCCCCAACACCTCAGGACACACCAGGTACCCCCAATACCTCAGTACAGCCCCAAGCACTCCCTTTCTCCTTAGTGTCTCCTCGCCCCCAGAAACACTACCCGTAAAACCCCCCTGCCTCTTCACCCTGTTTTCTGCCCCTTAGCAAGGAGGAAGAGGAAAGGCCCAAGGACGTGACAGCGCAGGTGATCCGTGAGCGTCCGTGTCGCCATCATGTTCTACATGCACGTCTTCATGAACAAGCGTGGGCCCCTGGCCAAAATATGGCTGGCCGCCCACTGGGAGAAGAAGCTCACCAAGGCCCACGTGTTTGAGTGCAATTTAGAGAGCACTGTCGAGAAGATCATCTCACCAAAGGTCGGTCGGCAAAGAGGAAGGTGCCTTCTGGTAGCTTCTGGTGCAAAAGTCTATATATTCTGTAGGGAAGAAAGGCCTCAAAAAGACTGAAGAGTCAGGCACCYAACTAAAGCAAAGGGACTACAAAAATTACTATCTAATTGTACCCAGAATATCTGAAGAAAATGTGTTTTTGCTATTCTTAGGGTTAATTTTTAACCTATCATAACTATTCTTTCACTTTCAGTGGACTTCTTCCTGATCTCCAGCCCATAGGAGATAAATACATAATTAAGTATATATTAGTGCTTAAGAAAGGCTGCATATTAGCAGTCCTGGAGGCTGAAGTCCTCTGTGTATCACAGATAAGGTATGACTCAAATAAGCACAGATGGAGCCAGTTGTTAAGTATCTGTGACTCAGTCAGGCCCTGGTCCTTCTGTTTTGATTGTAGCCCCTTAAAGAGTAAAGAACATTTTGCACCGTCACTAATTGATGAGTTGGAAGATCTAAGATTTTCTGCTGTTAAAGGAGGTTTTTTTTTTTTTTTTTTTTAACATGAAAATACCTGCTCAAGAGTTGGTGATCTCAATCTTAACTGTTTGTCTTTTCTGGGTTATAAGTAAGTGCGCTTTGTTAGAGTAATCTTAATGTTATTACTTAAGAGTGTTTTCTAAAATGCAATCCAGCAAAATGTTACCTAGGACCACCTAGCATGTTCTTGCTGCAGAAGACTTTGCATTATTAAATAAGAAGCTGGTACTTGAAATACCCCAAGTGGCAAATTCTAGAGCATGTGCAGCTGTTTTGCTCCAGAGCATGTGCTGTGCTGCTGCAGTGAGTTGCGATGTTTTAGATAACGAGCAAGCATCAGCTTACAACTTAAACTGCAATACGGTAATGTTTAAAAACAGAAATAACAGTTTCCAGCTCCATGTCTGTGTAACTTACCATAACTCTGCTACTACTTCATGTAATACTTTTATTTTAAAGTTTTTGTATGTTTTTGTTATATAAATATTAATTTCCAACTTTTTTTTCCCTAATCATTGAAGTTTGCAGTTGCTCTGCGCACCTCTGGACACTTACTCTTAGGAGTGGTGCGAATCTACCACAGGAAAGCAAAGTACCTCTTGGCAGACTGTAGCGAAGCTTTGACAAAAATGAAGACAGCCTTTCGTCCAGGTGCGTGTATAACATTCTGCATTTTTCCATCTGTGTCCTTTATAGCTCTTATCTTTAAGTTTAATTTTGGACATTTCTGCTGCACTCACGTTGTTGATCCCAGAGGAGCAATTTTCAACAGCAACTTACTCTTCTGTATTTGTCCGTAAACAACACGGCTTCTAAAATATAGGTAAATTAATATTTTTAATTCCATTGTGGAGTGCTGTTGACAAAGTACCTAAGCTTTATTTTTGTTATTTATAATGCCAGAGACCTTGAGAGAATTATAGCTTTACTATATGTACTTGGGGAAACATTATTTTTATTCTGTTGATGTTTATTTTGTTGTGCCTTTTGTGTCTTTTAGGACTTGTTGACCTTCCAGCGGAGAACTTTGAGGCTGCTTATCAGTCCATTACATTACCTGAAGAATTTCATGATTTTGCAGCACCACTCCCTGAAATAAAGTAAATGCTCCCCTATATTTTGCAGTTTATTTTGGCATTTTCAAAATTAAAAGACAAAGGAAACTTTAGTAAAATTTCAGTAAATTTTATCAATAAATTCTGAAGTGGTTTGAATTCTGATAACTTTGAGAGGCAGTGCTTTCTCCATAGAAATTAGTTTCAGCTGGGGTGCTTTCAATGCCATAGAAAATCATAGTTGTCTTTTTTTTTTTTTTTTTTCAATAAAACATCAGTTTTGAAAACTTTCTGGAAACAAGGTTTTCACATTCCAGCTAAATGGTCAATGGGTTTCAGTTCATGCTATATTTTGTAATTCTTTTTTATTAGTGCCATTGATGTTGCTGAACATTTTACCTTGAATCAGAGCAGAGCTGAAGACATCACACTTACAGAGGATTACGAAAGCAATATACTTCTCTGTGATAGAAACTTTGGTGAGAGAAGTTGAGAAATTAGGAATATTTCATAAGGAAAAGTGTGTTTTATACCTTTTTTGTACAATCTGAGTCATATTCACACATGAAGAAGATATTAAAAATAAATTTGTTTCATATTTGCATTGATTGGCCTATCCTATAGTCTCATATGTAGATCTTTGTGTCCAGTACTCTGCTGAAGCAATGTAATGTGATATTAGAGAATAAGAATCAAACCCATCATTTGCTGTTATCTTTTTTTTATCAAATTAGTTAAAACTGTTCATTTTAATATTTGCTATGTACAGTATCTTACAACACTTCATTTTATGAGATAGGGAATGGATAAATACAATTTCACATATATTCATACAGATGAATCATCAGAAATTCTGTATTTATTCAGGCGAGGAACCAGAAACACTAAGAAAACCAAGTTTCTTTGATGGCAACGTATTAATGAGCAGCAATAGTGTCTTAGCTGATCACACCTTGGCAAGCCTCAGCGGAGAGAAGTCTGCGCTGTGTGAAGGCACTTACTGCTTCGAGCACGACTGTTTTGGAGATGAGGAGACTACTGAGGATATGATTGGTAGGGCTTAGCACAAAACAACAGAAATAAAGTCTTTCCAAATATTTGTATTCCTACAGGAAGGAAAAAAAAAAAAAAAAGACATTGACCGTTTTCAAATCCAAATTTTCTTTTTTTTTGACTTTCTACTTTGTTTTTCAGTACTTGTCAGTAAATCTGCGTTCATTTAGACTTTCCTATTTAAAACAGCATTAAAGGACTAATTTAAGTTGCATAGAATAAAATTCATTCATTTATATTTAATTAATTTGTATTTTCAAGGGTGCTATAACAGAGCGCTTTTATTCCTATTATAATAAGGGCAACTGAGTGTGCATTTTTATAGTTTAGAATATTTACATAGACCTTTGTAGACTTGTATCTTTGAAAGCATATCAATGATTACACTTTTAAAGGAAAAGATAGAAAACTAACACTAATATTACCCTTTTCATATTAAGATAGTTGTAATATTGCCACACAGCAATATAAATTTTATTTATAAATGGCAAGAAGTCTTTTGTTCATACAAAAATTATATTTAAGCAGTAATATAAGGTTATATCAGGTTATTTCATTGCTCTGAAAACTTGGAATGAATAAAAGTACGCATTTTATTTTTAAGAAATTCTATTGAGGGATGAGAAAAATGGCCCAGCTAAAGACATTCTTGATCTGGAGGAAGAGCTTCCTTTGCCGCCAGATCTTCCAGAGAACGGTGCAGCTGGTGAGATTGCAGGTATTTTAAACTCTATCTACCACTATTTCTGATTCCACATATCAACTACAAGTGTCATTTTATTAGTTCATGAAGGTGTTGCTTGTCTTGCTTTGAGTTGGTATTGATAAAATAAGTTGTTAACCTGCCAATCTTGTGTATCGGAAGGCTGAGAAATTCTTTTATGTTATGCATATCTATTTATCTTGGGTTATTTGTTAGGTTCTCCTATGGCAGATTCCAATGGTGCAGATACCATCGTTCAAGAAGATGATCTAAGGAATGGAACAGCTCTTTGGTCTAAAGAAGAAGGATTTGTGCTTGAGCCTGTTGATGATACAGGTCAGCACCAGATCAGTTTCTTGCAAACAGTGTGCAGTATGAGACTTAATCTTCTTCCTTTCTATTACTAAAGATAGTTGCATCACAGAATATTCTCATTTTACATTTAATCTGCTGCTGCTGTCAGAGTTCTCTTTTCTGATAATTATTATGCAAAAGCAATACCAGCCTATTCCTCTCAGCTGCACAGATCTTACTCTTACACACACCAAGGAAGGTAAGTTTTGCTCCTCTACAGTTCTGCAGCAGTGCAAACCCAGCATATGCATGGGAATTACTGAACTTCTAGCTGAAAAGCCTTCATTACTAGTGATACATCAGCATTTCTGAACTGTCAAAGTAATATTCAAGCAGATATGGATATATAACTATAGGTTCTTTGTTTTACTACGTGAATCCTACCTAATTCGATCGCCAAAGGATTAAAATGGCAAATACAGACATGAATCATGAGATAATGAGGGTTGTTGAGTATGCTGATAGTTGTTAAAACATGAACTTACTGATGGATTCTCGCTGATGTATCATGTGTCCTTGTTAAATCATCATGTTGCTGCTGCTTCAGTAAATTACTCATACATGTTCCTTAAATGGAAATATATATAAAAGTAGGCATTATGAAAAATATTGTGGGAATGGTCTATGCATTGTAGTTTAATTCTCAAGTCCGTATTTTAGGAGGTCAGCAGTCTGTCCACTCATTTCACAATTCTTTATTCATGCTTAAGTTGTCGGTGCCCTGGGCCTCATTTGTGTATATTCATAATGCAATAGCTCTTGGACAAAAACCTGCCCAGATCCCAACTAGGAGGCCTGAACAACTCGTATTGGGTTCTAGATATTGTAATGACAAATAGTAAATATATGGGGAAAGGGATAATTAAATATATTTCTTTAGAGATTGTTTTTTCTGCTATTTAGTTCCTCTGGTGCTGAATTACATTATAGAGAGATAGCTGTCAGTGAAGGAGATCAATACCATTTTTCAAAATGCTTGCTCTACTTAGTGATCCCCTCGAGGGAAAAAATTAAGAGGAAAAGGAAATTACTTGTGGATGCAAACAAGGAGCTCAGCTGCCAAACTATCTACAACCAGATTAACAACTGCATGGACACTCTCACTACGCTAGACCTCGCGCCCCCAACCAAAAAAACAATGATGTGGAAGAAGTCAGGTGGAGTGGATGTTCTTCTGTGCCACCCCAYGCAACCTTTGATTAATGCTGAGCTGCAAAAGGTAAAGATTTATTCCTTGTAGCTTTTTATGCCACCATAAATCTTTGGGGTCTATGGCACATTTAGGCTCTGATTGTAAGAGATTTTGCAGAGCTGGTTACCTAGGAATTCTTGGGAAACTGCAGGTGCAGAGCGCCAGTAAAGTCTTGTTCTGCATTTCAGCTCAGGGGATATCTGGTGCTTGTAAGTGTATTCATAATTAATTGCTTCAGCAAAAAGACCTTATGTAGAACTCGGTTCTTTAATCTCCAGCATTCCACTCTCCAGAATGGCAGGAATGAGTGAAAAAATGACACACAAACTTAAGAATACAAGTTTCATTTCACATATTGGCATCTAACTGTACATTAATACACATTTTTTTTTCTGATTTCTATCAAAATCTCTTTTTTTTTGTTTGTTTTCTTTCTGCTCTGTAATCAGTGTTGTGCCTCTTTTCACATTAAAGTTACTTCCTTTATCATTTACTTTAAAGTTACATATGGCTTAAACATTATTGTTATATAATTAACGATTTTGGGAAGATGGTATGCCRGATTGTTTTTTCCTTTCCTAACAGAAGATTAAGCTCCCAGCTCAGCCGACGTCAGGGGACTCTACCTCTCGGAGAGCTGAGATGATCCAGATCACACTATCAATTTGGCTGGAGGCCCAGGCCACCCTTCTTTTTTACAGTTTTATCCCTGCTGTTCTCTCAGGAAAAGCATATATGTATATATTTTTTTYATGGGGAAAAATTGTCCAATCTGTGACTAAAACATTTCTTCACTAATTTCACTATGGAGCTGCAAAAGGCTATTACTTCAAAAAATGACATATTTTCTGAAAGACCTAATCCAAATCTCTAAATTCTAGATTACAATAATCAGTGTGCAGCTCGTGGTCATTCCTTTGTTTTAATGCTTGCCAATAGTCTAAAGGTATATTCTCAGAGTGATTAAAAAGTAAATAAATAAGAAATGATAAAATAAATATAACAAATGATTGTTTTCAGTTGTTTGCAAACTGCTTCAAGTATCGCAAAACTAAGGTGGGAAGAAACGGAATAGTGATGGATTCTGAAATGGAAGAACCAAGAAAAGAGCAAGATACAACAGGTGACACTTCAATTCTGACTCTGTAGAACTAGCTATTAGGAAGCATTTAAAATCTACTTTACACAATATTTGAGATACACACAGTGTGTACAGTAGTATACAAAGCAAGGCCTAACAGACCTAGATGTTAAGAAAAATCGGCTACGTTAAATATAAACAGAAAATAAGTTTTATTTTTGTAAATATTTTACTGTTCTTTTGCTCCTTACATCAGATGGGGCAAGCCTTTTTTCCTTTATGGCATGAAGGGTATTTGAGGGTTTTCCTTTTGTTTCCCCAGTTGACCCCCAAACCAGAGGTTTATTAAAAACAGGCTTCTCATTTATTCCAAAATTATTCCAACCATTCTCCAAAGTAAATAATTTCTATTGCTACCATGAAGATCGTGTTTTGGTTATTATGAAACGAGAAGAAAAATGTTCCATTTTAGAAGGTCTGCTGAGGTGATTTAGCACTTTCCCTCTTTATTCAGCCAGGAAAATGATCTGTGTGACTAGCTCAGAAGTTAGTCAGTGAAACCACCTCCTGCAAGCCCGTAAAGGTCAACTTTGAAAGGAAAAGCTCTCTTGAAAGCCTCTCCTTCCCTAGTCCTGGTGGGGATGACATTTATTCTACTTAGCAGCCGTCTTAAGTTTTCTAGACTGAGATCTGATTTTGTTTCTCAATCTTTTTTTTTTAAGGACAGAGAATAACCATAATTTCCCCTCAAACCTTGTTTTTTCGTTAATACAGAGATGCCGATTATAGAAGAGCCAAGTTACCTGCAGGAGTCAGCCCATTCAGAGACTGAGAAAAAAAACAGAAATGATTTATTTATGTTGGCATCAGACAATAGCAGAAATGCAATTGATGATAATCTTGATGAAACTATAGTGAGTAGTTTCCATAAATATGAGAGAACTAAGTATATTGGTATCATTTTCTATTAAGGTTCCAYTTATAACAAGCTAAGAAATTATTAATGTACATTTGAAAAGCATGTTACAGAGAGCTGATAAACATGAAGCAGCTTGTGTCATGAAAGTTTTGTTCATAAGCATTATGGGGGACTCTCACAGCAGATTATTAATTAAAATGTATATTAATCACTTATTAACATCTCATAAACAAATTCTAAATGGAACCTTAATATAAAATAGAGCTGTTTGTACTAAAAAGGTAAATACTGTCCTCTCTATAAAAGGATTTTTTCTTTTGTGTCTCAAATTGAGGAATTACTCTAGCGATAATTAATGATCTCTTTCTGCTGTCTTTATTTGGATTATTTTTAAAGGGGAATTCTTTAGAGAACACAAGGCTCTAGGTTGAAAAAGAATGAAAAAAATGGACCTAACAGCAGAATAAAATACAGAGTCTGTGCTTGAATTGAAGTAGAATTGAGTTTAAGTAGATTTGAACTGAATGGAAATAGCASCTCTTAACTAATTTTGGAAAACATTGATCAAAATAAATCTTTGGAGCAGAGTTATATGAATGAGGATGAGATTACATGTATGACTGCTAATGCCCCCTTTCCTATTTTAACAGCAGGATAGAGGTGCCTGGTCTGAGAGCTCCTCTCTGGTGAACACCACCCTGGGACAAGGAGCTGAAAGGAAGCAAGCTGAGTTAACAAACGTATGTGTCCTAGGGGCTGGCAACTTAACTTTGCAGCAGAACAGCGTTCCTTCACAGAAATATTTAAAACCACTAAAGTGAWAATTTTATGATCTTGCTGTGAATTTCAATGTATTAATTGATGTACTCTTTAATATATAATTTGCCATTCAAAAGCATTAATAGCTGGGATTCCACTGTTACAGGTTATAGGGAGTGTGAGGAAAACAGTTCCCTATTTAGAGACTCTGCTTCCATGTAAAATGAAACAGTTTCTAAACTTTGTGTTTAGGAGAAAACCAAAAAACTCGAGCAACCCTAGTCCCACACAGGAGCATCCTACTGGGAAGCTGTTTTCAGAWGGCTCAGTGGGACCATCTTTGTACTACATGTCATTACACTTGGTGTGCCTCTCTCTGCAGAGGGAAGAACCTAGTTCACACTCTTGTTCTCTCAGTTCCACAGAGCCTGTTCTGAGTGTAGAGGTGTCAAAAGTCCCAGATATCCTATAAATAGCCCTCAAAATGTCTAGCTCCAGTTGGATTTTCAATGGAGCTAGAACACTTGTGCATTCGTATCTTCTTTGTATATGATTTTTTATACATCCATCTAACATTCTGCTGTATTTTCTATCAAGCACCTAATAAGAAACAATAAAGACAGTGAAGAAAGAAGATGGAGCAGAAGAACTCTTCAGTTATTAAAAGCTTTACAGGTAACAATGTTGGATATTGTAAATAGATGCCAAAAATAGATGTTGATTTTGGTTGGACCRTGTCAGAAAAATGTCCTGCTAACTTATACCGTTTACCATATTACTGCTTTTCAAATGCTGAGTATAACTGCCTTTTGCTGAGTGTTTATGCAGACATGTTTGTACTGCGTGCTATTTGAAACAGGTTTATGCTGGAGCCAGCATGGTTTTTCTTGATGCTGGATATCTAAATGTTTGACCATATCTGCACGTTCSTGTTCACTCCTGTTGGTGGGTGCCAAGCATTGTGCAGGTTCAGCATTAATCTGACTGCGGTAAAAATAAAAAAAGGGGGAAAAAAAGCCCCAAAATGCTGTCACCCAGGGTAGTTCTCTGATCCAACATACCTTGTGGATGAACAGGAGATGGAGGAAGGAAAATACGGAAATCAGAACATGGAGACGGGAACATTTGGGTTGGAACTTTTGCCAAAGCAAAGTACAGCAGCCTTTGCTCTCGGCCTAGCTTTCCCCTGGTGYTGGAGGGTGACTTTGCAGATTTCCTCCTCTTTTAGATATTTTATGTTAACACTTTTAAAAGGTTGCATGTAATACTCATAAATGCTTACATTTATGTGTAGCTCTTCAAAAGCTAACAATAACAATTATTTAGCTCTAAATTAATTTGCATATGCTGTTCTTTGATTAGAAAATATCAGTTGTATCATAGGCAATGTTTTTTATTGCTTGGAATCGTGCAAATCATTACAGAAACACTTCATTATGTGCCTCAGTGCAGTGTCACTGAATTTCAGCAAATTGCCGGCATGGAAATCTTTGTAGTGTATGTAGGTGGTAGCAATATTACGGCAATAAAATGTTAAGAGCCACTATATAAATGTAAATGCCAAGATGAGATGCTATTCAAGGCCTTCCACCAGAGAACGTTAGCTCTGAGCAGAAGTACTGTTCAGTTCAAAGCTGGTTTATTGGCAGTTAGGCTGGCCTAACTCGTTTTGTTTTTTCCCCTTCTCCAGCTCATGAACAGATCAGGAGTGAATTCCTTCAGTTTACTGAAGCTTTGCCAGAAAAACAGTCGGAAAGAAGCTGCCGACAAGTTCTACATCTTTCTTGTTCTGAAGAAACAGTTGGTTATTGATCTTGCTCAAAGTGCTCCTTTTGCTGACATCATAGCAACTGTAGGCCCCAAGTTCAATGCCCTCTGAAATCATGTAATATCCAGATAAGCTAACTAAAAATCTTAGTTTTTCAGAAATTCCTTCTAAGTTTTTCAGAAATTCCTTTTGGCAAGTGCAAGTCTTGCCAAAACACTACGGACTAAGCAGAACCCTCCTTTAGTTGTCTGTCCCCTCAGGACTGCAAAGTAACTAAACTTGTGCAGATGTGCTGCGTCAGTACAGGTCAGCAAGGAGTTCCTTATTATGTTTATTTTTAACATATGTGTTCATATAATAAATGGTTAAATAGTCTGTTAATAAATGATAGTTAGAAACAGATATTCCACACAAGATTTACACTGTTAAGGTTTTTATGAAAGTTCTATAAAACCTTTCTTAGGATCCAGTTTTGGAGACTGTTTTTTAAACAATCTCCGCTATTATTATTTTGATAAAAGACCCGTAAAGGAGCTGTTATGAACAATTTTGCAGCGCTGTGGAATAATACTGAAGCTTTTGTTAGAGATCTCAGGCTATGCAAACATAGAAATATTGATGTTTAATGGTCTATGCAGTCGTTTCACCTCATGCAGATGCCCAACTCAAACATGTTTCTAAAGCCTCATGTCATTTAGTGAAGGCAAAATGTGTTCTGCTCACTCAGTGACGGAAGGGATGTGTGTGTTAATTATCTAACACCCTCAGTAAAGCAAAGTCTGCTAAGCTGTCTTTATCAGCAGTATTACTCTGTTTAAAAAATCTTATTTCTTTACAAGAATGTGCAGCATTTCATATTTTAATGTCTAGAGAGCTGTCATCTCTAGCATTAATTTTGTATTTGAAAGCAGAGACGAGTCAGGTACCACCCTGGCAAGGGTAGCATGCTTCTGAAACCAACCCTGGCCATTTTAGATCTCATGGAACATGTTTACTTAAAAATTACTTTTATATTTATGTGTAGACCTACTTAAATGGAGATATTAGTTCTTTGCCTTTTTACCTATTTTAAAAGAATTTTTAACACTTCTCTTTACATGTTGTAAAGTTAACAATTTTCATATAGGAGAAAGCAGATACAGTAAAGTTACTAAATACAGGTCAGTTATGTACCTTAACTACCTTCACAAAATGTGACGGTGCTTCARATATGTTGGCATACCTTAATATTAAATCAATAGAAAATAGGAAATGTCTCTGGAGCCCTTTGTTGTCTGTGCTCAAGGATCAAAATCAGAAGCCATCTATKGTAGCGTGGGTTCGACATTCTAGAGTCAGCAATTTCTGTGATTTTTCCTAAAACTTCAAAGGCTGGAGGATATTGTCAGGCACTCTGAGTTTCCAGGTGTTCAGGGGTTTTAGTTGTGCTCTGAGTCTCTGGTCCTGCTAAAACACACGCGCAGGATCGTTCACCTGCAGAGGGGAGAGCGGAGCAGAGGAGCCCTTGGTTTTGCTGTCCAGGAGTCTCTTTGGGTTCCAGAATGACTCGGTCTCTTTGTGCTGGGCCCTGGGTGAGGGCTGGGGCTTTTCTCCTTGCCTGACTGGAGGTGTCTCTTTCAGTTTGGTTTTCCATATTATGACCTTGGGTAAAAGGTGACGTTTTCCCCCTCACCTGAAGTTCCCCTCAGGGTAAGTTTACCTATGGGAGAAGAATGGTTATGGCCTCTCTTATTCCTTATTGATGAATATCCTTTGTGTTGTGTTTAAAAATAGAGGGGAAAATATCAATTCCTTCTGTATCTGGAAAAGTCTTGTGGTGACTCCTCCATTCCTCCAAACGTTACCAGGAAGAGGAATAGGTGAGGGGCTGTTGGAGACTGGGAACATAGGCCTRAGGGAATGTGGACATAGGAAACAAGGGCACGAGAGACGGGGAAGGACACAGAGCAAGGAGCAAGAGAGGCAGAGGAGGAGACAGCACCATTCCCACCACGAGCTTTGGGAAACGCTCGTGCATCGGCTGCAGCAACGTTGCTTCCCTCTGCCCCAGCGGGAAACTCCTTTTCCTTGTGGAAAAGAAGGGGAAGCGCCTTCGTCACCTGGGAAAGCAGAAACGAAGGGAGGCTGGAGGAGGCAGGAGGAAACTGGAAGGCGCAAGAGACAAATTGGCAGGATCCTCACACAGGGAAGACGATCTGTGTGTTGGAACAAGCGAGGTGAAAATCTTGCAGGAAATGAAGCTGGGGGAAAGAATAGAAGGTGTTTGTGGACTAGAGCTCTGAAATAATCGTCTGGCTGGTATAAATAGAGTTTGCAAAGGCAAGGGAATCATCACGCTCCCTTATCAGCCAAATCTGCGGGCTTGCTGCATGCATTTACACAGGGATTTTGTTTTTTATCTAGACCAAGGCTGCTCAGCGCCCGAGGCTGATCCAGACCCTGCGGAGGAGCAAGCTCTGCTCTGACCCGGCCAGCGGGGACACACGCTCCCTGACGGAGGTAACGTGTCCCGGGTCCCCGCTGGCTCACCATGCACGCGATAACAGCCGTGAACACGCGTGTAGACACAGTAGCAGCCATGGACACGCGTGTAGACACCGTGTCTAGGTGTTTGCATGGGAAATAACACAGGAGAGGGAAATTAAACAGCTAGAGAAGGGGCATCTCACCCACCGGCGGCTGCCACCGCAACCGGGCTTATCTGGTGCAAAGATTAGTCACACAAATAAATAAATAAATAAATAAATAAATAAATAAACAAATAATATCGATTATTTGTATTATATAATAAAATAAATATGTTTATTATATAGAAATATAGTATTTAATATTTTGCGTGCCATATAATTATATAATATCTGGTTGCATAACAATATTTTATAGAATATTTACAAGCGTGTTCTGTTAAATCTGAGGCCGCGGGGTGTTTATGTCCGAGCAGAGCCGCGCTATTCTATCACATTGATCTGTCCGCTCACCCCTGGGGTCCCCCCGGGCCGGACCCCCGCGGCCGCGGTTGCCATGGAAACTGAGGAGCTGCGCCGGCCCTTTAAGAGCGCAAATTGCGCAGCTGCCGGGCTCATCCCGCCCGCCCTCCTTCCCTGCATCCTCCCTCCCCATCCCCATCCCCATCCCCATCCCTATCCCACCCCATCGCTCCCGCGCCGCCGCCGCGCGGAGCCGCCCGCAGCCCCATGGAGGCCGGCGCAGGTGCGGAGCGGGGCCGGGGGCGGGGGGCGCGGGGGGGGCGCGGTGTGGCGCGCGCACCCCGCGCTCAGCGCCGCTCTCTGCCCTCCCCGCAGGTCGCTGAGGCCGCCGCGCCCCCCCCGCAGCCCGCGGGCCCCGCGCAGGTGAGCGGGGCGCTGGGGGGGGGCGCTGAGTCACGGCGCTGCAGCGCGGGGGGGGCGCAGGGACACGCACCGGGACACAGGGACACGCACCGGGCGCAGGGACACGCACACGGACACAGGGACACGCACCGGGACACAGGGACACGCACACGGACACAGGGACACGCACCGGGACACAGGGACACGCACAGGGACACACACCGGGTGCAGTGACACGCACGGGGGCGCGGGGACCCCCGGACCCCGCGTCCTGGGGACCACGTCCGCGCTGCAGGCGCCCRGTCCCCATTGCGGGCACCGCGGTGACCCGTCACACTCGCCACACCCCGTGCGCCAGGGCCACCTCGCGCACCCGGGCACCCGCCACCCGCCCTGGACCTGCAGCGGATGCACCAGAGCCCCATGATGCCCATTGGAGTCCCACGACCCGCCCCAGGCCCCCATCACCCCGCCCCGGCCCCCAACACCCCCCCGGCCCTCACCGAACACCCCCTACCCCTCCAGGTGCCCCAGGCCCTGGCGCGGCCCCTCGCCACCCCCCGCCCCTCTCCATGCGCCCCGGATTTGCAGCTGCCCCCCGGGCGCGGAGCCTCCCGGCGCCGCGGGGCGCTGCAGCAGCTGCAGCCGCCGCTCTGCGCCCGGCCCTTTATTATTCAACCGCCCAGCGCTCCGGCCGGGCGCGGAGCCGGGCGCGGAGCCGGGCGCGGAGCCGCGCTCCCAGCCGCGCTCCCTGGCGCGCCGCAAGGTCAGCGCTGCCGCCCGTCGCGCAGGAAGCCGCGGGCGGGCGTCTGCGGCGCCCGCAAAGCCCCGAGCTCCCGGCCTCGCCGGCAGCRCGCGTTCTGCACCGCAACCTTGTGCTAGGAGGCAAAAATGCGGGTTTGGGGGCTTCRGAGGCGGCTCTGGTCGGGGGGTTCCCGGCGCGGGTTCCCCATGCGCGGCCGCCRCCGGCTTTGCGGCAGCCGGAGCGCAGCGCTTTGGCGCGCTGCTAAAGTAGGACATGCCGGCAGCGCGGAGCCGGCGCTAATCCTCCGTGAGCACCGGCCTCTCGGCCGGCATTCCAGGTGCGTGTGGTCAGGAGAGACCCGCTCGCGCCCAGAGGTGCCTGGTCCATCCGCRTTCCCGCGGGTGCTTCCCGGAGGTGCCGGCTCTTCTCTCTGCTCCCGGGCCTGCTCCCAAGCAGTGCTATGGGCTCTGCATCCCGCGGGATGGGCTCTACATTCCCGGCGGGAGCCCCCTGCTCCTGTCCCCGCTGCGGCAGGGCTGGTGCTGATGCTCCTTCCTGCCTCTGAAGAGGCCCCGAGGAGAAGGGCGCTGCACAAAAGCCATCGTGGGCCTGGAGTCTGCAGCACAGGAGCCTTCCAGGGCCTGGCGAAGGGAACGACCTGGGCCTGTGAGGTCGTATCGGGCCACGCAGAAGATTCCCCATCCCATGGGAAGGGGACAGGGGACCTCCCTGCTCCGCCCCGGAGCTAGACCACGTGGAGAAGTGAGCTGCACAACCCGGCCCTTCTAATGGTCGCTGTTTTCCTGTAATCTCTGAGCATAAGATCAGCAGCTCACGGCAAACAAGAATCAGGAAATACCCCTGCGTTTCACGACGTGTTGCAACAACCCTTAGCAGAATTGATTTGCTGCCGCATAAAGACCCCACGCGCCTTGTGCCCGCGCTGACAAAGCGGCGCCTCTGCCCTGGCCCCGCGCGCGGTGGAGGGAGATCCGCCGCTTTCCGGCCCGGATCGCCGCCCTCGGGCAGGGCTTCCCTTTGGGAGCCGCTTTCCAGCCCCGCCAGCAGCTGCTGATAGGGGTGAGGGGACCCCAGAGCCCCATGGAAGCCGGTGCAAGCCCTGGCTCCCATTTGGATCAAAGATGCTCCGGGCTTTGCCCTGTGCTGCCCCTGCCTTGGCCAGTATCCACTGCCCGCCCAAGGGCATCGTGTCCGGCTCCTCCGGCCGGCACCAGCTCTGGTCCCGGTGCTGCCTCGGGCATCGCGCCGCTCTGTCCTCATGGGGTTGTGCTCATCCCTGGCCCTGCTGCCGGCCGTTTCCCGGCTCTTCCCAGCCTCCCGCYGCACTCCGGGCCCGGCTGGGCCGCACAGCGGCGCGAGGGGCGCGCGGGAGCCGGGAGCAAGAGGCCCGTGCGCTTTGTCGGGCGGGCTCCGTTGCACTAAGCGCTGTTGCCCCTTGCTGAGCGCCCCGGCGGGGCTGGCCTGGCGCTGCCGCCGCATCCAGATCCCTGGGGACGGCGGGAGAGGCGCCTGCTCGGGACTCACCACGATCCGCACGTGGAGGCGGTGATGGGGCCGTCCCCGTCCTGCTCCCCGTGTCACGTCACACGCGTGTGACATCCCGGCCATCTGCTCAATGGGAATCACATGGGGCTCTCCCTGCGTTCCCGGCGTCCTGCAAGGTGCCCCTCACAGGCCTTGCTCTGCAGAAGAGTAAAACAAAGGGCAGGAAACCGGCTGCATCCTTGGATCCGCATCAGGACGCTGTGAACTCCAGGCTGCCGAGGGGAGCGGAGTCCGCGCGACGCGGCAGCAGCGGCGGGCAGAGCTGCAGGCTGGGCAGGACGGGGCTCGTGGATCCAGGGAGAGGCAGGCGGGTCCTGCAGCCACGAGCACCGGAGCTGCCGTGCACGGGGCTCCGTCGGGGCCCGGGATCCGCCACAGCCGGTTCAACCAGCCGGGAACTGCCGCACGGGGTGGGTGGGATGGGGCCTGGTGGCATCGCGATGGCATTGCCAACCGAGCTGCTTATCTGGGTGCAGTGTCTGCAGGAGCAAGCCCTGCAAATCACAGCCGGGGTGTAGGGGAATGTCCTGCCAGCGAAATGGGGATGATTCCCAAGAGCTCCCAGCTCGTGCTGCACGTCCACCCCGAGAGCGCGTGCAGGGCAGGGAGCCCCCGGGAATCTGCGTCCCTGCAAGGCGGGAGAGGCTCTGCCCCCTGCCCGGGACCGGGATTGGGCCCTGATTTGGGCTGTCCTTGCTGCGTCCTCCCCTGCACCCTGGTGGGGCGAGAGGGCCTTGGCTCCGCTCGGGCTCTCGCGTGCCCCCGCGGTGCCGCGGCACCTCGGCGGGCGCAGGGCCGCTCGCCCGCGCGGTTTCAGGACGTGCCGCGTGGCCACGTGGGCTCGGGCGCTAGGTCTGTCCCAGCACGACCCTCCTCGGCAGCCCTTGGGCATGGGGAGGCTTTGGGGGATCCCAGTAACCCCGAGATTCCTGGAGATAAAAGATAGAGGTGATTTATTACTGGGGATTCGGGCCAAGCTGCGCCGGCACGTGGGGATGCAGGGCTGGGGACGGAGACGCTGCAGGGCTGGGGGCACCGCGGTGCCTGCAGCCGCTTCCTGGATCCACGCGGATTCCAGAGCTGCTGGGATCCCGGAGCCACTGGGATCCTGGGGCTGCTGGGATCCTGGAGCTGCTGGGATCCCGGGGCTGTTGGGATCCTGGAGCTGCTGGAATCATGGATCTGCTGGGATCCCAGAGCACAGGGTGGGCGGCGCAGCGCCCCGCTCCCTTTCCATGGCTCTTTGCTGGAGCAGGCGCCGCGCCGCATCCCGCCGCATTCCCCAGACGGCAGCACCCGCGTGGGGCCGCCCGAGGCACAGGGGTGGCCCCGCGGGCGCAGAGGGTCCCGGCGGCTCCCGCAGCACACGCTGATTCCCGGTGCAGCCTCCCGCCCGGCTCCATGCCGGGGAGCAGCCGGAGCGCCGGCCCCGCTCCCGCAGTCCCGCGCTCTGCTCTGCGGCGCTCCGCAGCGCTCGGCGGCTCCACGTGGGGCTGGTGCTGCTCGAGCAGCTCCAGACAACTGCAGCTCTCTGGATCCRGCCTATTTATTTAGAGGGAACAGGAGCCTTTCTCTTTCGGAGCATCACGCAGCATCATGCGCCCACCTGTGCTCGGGTGCCTGGTGTCACTGCCAAAGGGGTGTTTCGTGTTTCCGTAATAAAATGCAACCCCTTAAAATGCCCGGGGCCTGGGTGCTGCCCGGAGCCGGGTGCCCTGGGCAGGTCCCTGTGCCACCCCGGTGGCTGCAAAGGGGCCGCTGTGGCAGCGGCTCCTGTCCCGCACCCCGGGCGCCCTTCGCGTGTCCGCAGCAGCAGCCCGAGCCCCACGGTCTCAGCCGGTGCCCCCGGCCGTGCCCCGTGCCCCGTGCCCCGTGCCCGGTCCTCACCCCTTCTCTTGCTTTGCCCGCAGCGGAAGCAGCAGCCGTTGCCAGCGCCGGGACCTGCGGCGCCGCGGCCATGTCCGTGCCCGGGAGCCGCCGCTCCTCCACCGGCTCGCGGAGGTGAATATGGCCGGGATGCACCCCTGGGACCGGGATCCACCCCCGGGACCGGGATCCACCCCTGGGACCAGGATCCACCCCCGGGACCGGGATCCACCCCCGGGACCGGGATCCACCCCCGGGACCGGGATCCACCCCCGGGACCAGGATCCACCCCCGGGACCGGGATCCACCCCCGGGACCAGGATCCACCCCTGGGACCGGGATCCACCCCTGGAGCCGGGATCCATCCCCTGGAGCTGGGATCCATCCCCTAGAGCCAGGAGCCATCCCCTGGAGCTGGGATCCACCCCCTGGACTGGGATCCAATCCTTGGAGCCAGGATCCAACCCCAGGCCTGGGATCTACCCACGGGATCGGGATCCATCCCCTAGAGCTGTGATCCACCCTGCAGAGCTGGGATCCACCTCTGGGACCAGGATCCATCCCTCGGAGCCGGGATCCAGCTGCCGACGCCAGGATCCATCCCCTAGAGCCAGGATCCACCCCCCCTGAGCTGAGATCCACCCCCTGGAGCTGGGATCCATACCCTGGCGCTGGAATCCATCCTTAGGAGCTGGGAGCCATCCCCTAGAGCCTGGATCCATCCTTTGGCACCAGAATCCACCCCCTGGTGCCAGGATCCACCCCCTGGAGCTGGGATCCACCCCCGGCACCGGGATCCGTGCCACGGGTGGCGGTGCTGCTGCAGACCCCCATCCCTCACATGTGGGTGCTGGGGACCCCGTCCGCTSCGCCGAGACCCTCCCCTCGTGCCAAGCTGCCGCAACGCCCGCTCCCGCCTGCTTGCGCTGCTGGTGCTGCTGCTGTTGGGGCGCGGGGCTCCGCTCTTGCTGCCGGCCGTGGCCGTGCCACTTTGACCCCTGTCTGTTTTGTCCCTTGTCCTGTGTGTTCCGGTGCGGCGGCCGCCAGCCGCGGGGTCTATGGACGCAGCGGCCTGGCCTCCTTCTTTAAGCCTTCGGCGGCCTCCGCGGCGCGGGCCGAGACACAGCCTCTTCTCCCTGCCTCCAGGCGCCCCTCGCCGCCCGGGAGGGACACGTTCGGCACCTCCTCGCTGAGCAGCAGCAGCAACTCGGGCTCGTGCAAGGGCAGCGACAGCAGCCCCACGCCAAGGTAACGCGGGCGCCGCGGCCTGC